CACATCAGCTTCTGTAAGAGCTAACTGATCCCACAAATCCGACATAGCTGCATAAAATTCCTGAACACTGAGATTGTTCTGTTGGAGGGCTCGAATATCAAACTCTAACTGATACTGCTTTGCAAAGTTAGACTGAGTATACAACCTAGCCAAGTGATCCCAAACCTCCTTTGCCGTGTCATACTTCGCCAACTGAGTACCAATAGACTGGATGACATAATTATTAATCAAATTAATGATCTTGGAGTTATCAGTCTCCCATGAATCCAGTAAGGTTGCATAATTAGCGGCCTTCTCGTATGTTGGTTTCTTCTTGTCACCTGTAACAATCCCCCACATAGTCTTGCCCCGCAAGAAATTTTTCATAACATAACTCCAATAGGCATAGTTTTTGCCATCAAGTTGAATACTAATGGACTGAAGAGAATCATCTCTTGGGGCCATATTTCAATATCAGTCAAATAGTAAATACGAGTAGCAGCAAAAAACGATCAAGATCTCGAAATCAACAAAGCTAGACGAAAACGAAACCCTCAAAACCGACAAACGAACAAATCAAACCAAACCAAATACAGAAACGAGCAAAAAAGGCATACCCCAAAATTGCAAATGGTGGCAATGAACAGTGCACGTGAACAGTACCAATGAATAGTGCGATGAATAGTAACCGTTAACAGTAGCTGTGATGAACAGTACCTGTGAACAATAGCCGTGATGAACGGTACCCGTGAACTGTAACGTCGATGAACAGTACTCCGATGTATAGTAATCGCGGTGAACAATATCGATGAACAGTAACTCCGATGAACAGTAATCGCCGATGAACAGTGTCAATGAACAGTACTCGCCCCCAAAAAACGAAAAACTACAGATAATCAACCTAGCTCTGATACCATGTAAACTAACAAGTGAAATACATATAACGGCTAGGGTTTCATATTATTATCAAAGAGAAGTACAAATACAATGAAAAGGAAAGACATAATATATAGACAAGCTAATTAGGGTTTCCTAGCGAAAAGACCCAATCATAAAACCCAATACAAAATAAAGCCCAAAATATTATTAGGCTAACAGTTCTCATATATAACTAATGCATAATTATGCATAACATTATGTTTTGAATGTAAAAAAAACATTGTATTTATATAAAAATGTGGTTTTTAAACGAAAAAATATATTTATACGGTTTAAAGTGTAATAAAAAAATATATTATACGGTTCCAAATGGAAAATGGTCAACATTGAACAAAATTTGAAAAATGATCTTTGATTTGGAAAAAAAAACAAAGTGTCAAAATTGAAAGAAAAAAATAAACTTAGTGTCAAAATCGAAAAAAGTGAAAACTTAGTGTTTTTTGTGGGAAAAAAATTTCAATTTTGACATGTCATCATGTCACGTCAGCAGGTAACCGGGTTGACCAGTCAAGTGGTCAGAATTGTAAAAAATTGGAAAACACAATGTTAAATTTGAGACAAATAAAAAACACAGTGTCAAATTAGAATTTTGATGTAAACTTAGTGTCTTTTGTGTTATTTAACCCAGAAAATAAATTAAATTTAAGCAAAACAGACAAAAAGAATAATTATGTCATTTTACATGGATCTCAATTTCATTTGTACGAATAATTAATTCTAATTTCATTTCCTGTCAACTAAACAGGATATAGAACTGGATTTAAATTCTAGACAGATTTATTTTCCAATTCCAATTTCAATTCCTTCGTAAACATTCTGGGAGCCAAACATCACCTAAGTTAGTCTCGCATTCTGAAAACCCCCCAATCCCTCTCTACACCTCCGGATTTTTTTTTTTTTTTGCTAGTCGCTGCAAACGATTGAGCAGAAAAGGTAAATACTTTGTTTATGGTTTTGATCTTAATACACGTTAGTTTCAATGCTTATTCTTCAATCATTTAGCTGTTTAAACCCAAATCAATTTGCCATTTTTTCCCTCTGTTTCTTTCTATCTATTACAGAATCAATAAGGATGCGATTATATATACACACACACACACCCTCTTTCTGTTGTCTATATGCACACACATACACCGGTCAACCTCTATCTTTCTGATTTTGGTTTTACATTTCTTTGACTTTATCTCTTTCTGCTTTTGGTTTTGACTTCATTTGCGGGCATGATTGAGATTTTCTGAAATCTAGGGTTTTTGATATCATAACAGGGATTTTATATTTAGAGCAACTTAAAACATCAAAAATAGTGTTCTATGGTAACTTTGGTTCTTTTTATAATGGGTTTCAAGTTCATCAGAGTTATAGAAAATGGGAACATCATGACTGCATCAAGTTCATATGCGAGTCACAGGGTAAAATTTATAATGGTAATCCTTAGGTTTGTACTTCTATCCCCTAAGATAATATTTTTTTTTTCAGTTTTATAAAGAAAGTTATATATATGATTATAGAAATATTTTGTGACACCACCATCATCAATTTTCTCTTTTTCTGATTATTGTGAAGATAACTTTGTAAATTCATTTTCGTTCTATCTTGTTCAAAATTCATAAACTGCATAATATTTGTAGGTTTGTGGCATGAAGAGAATCTATGTGAAGTACCAAAATGTGTACGAGATAAATGCAATGAAGGTGGTGAGGTTTGATTGCATTAAAAAAACGTTTTAGGAAACACGATGCAAGAAATTTCAATCCGAAAGTTCTTGATGAACTTCAATTGGCTCTTCATCATGTTGTTGGTGGACTTCAATTGGATATCGGTGGTGCTTCACTAAGTGGTTGCAGCTGCAATCTATCAAATCCTCATGTTATGTATTGTTACTTCATTTCACCAAGTGTTCCCATTAATTTGAATATTAATTTAAAATGTAACTGAATTATGTATGTATTTAATGAGAAGATGGTTCTCTAAATCAAGTGTAAAGAACATTTAGACTATCCAACGATTTATAGCTTACTTGGTTGAAAGGTTTTTTTTTTTGGAACAAAGGTGCTGTTATGTTGCTACCAACAACTACCCTCTCACAACATGACTAAATGTATCTTTTACTTGATATTTAAATTTTATTTATTTAAAGTTATTTAATTATAACGCAATAAATGATATTCAAAATGTATTTTAAACACTATGCTTAATAATGTGTGCGACGCCTTTATGATAATGTATCTTATATTAGTTTAATTTTACGAAAGTTTGTTAAGTTTTCTAATGTCTTATCAGTAGTGAATTAAAAAGATAATAAGAATATACAGCAAAAAAAATCCAAAACCATAATTGTCAAAATGAATTCTCTAATTAATAATTATTAACACGAAATTTGGTGTTATTTAGGATGTGTTATTCGTTATTTTTTTTTAACTATTTAATCATATGTATAAACTTTGAGAAACATAGCAATATAATATCATAACGAATAGAAAACATAAATTATAAAAAAAAATATATTCATAATTCTAACGTGTTTTTGCAATATTTTTTCGTGTCATACTAATATCAACAAAAATCCCAAAAATCTAATATCTTTCCACTATCTTTCCACGACAATATAATCAACCTTTTTCATTAAATTAAGATAAAATGGCATAAATGTTTTTGTGATTTACTAACGGACCAATATAATTAAATGGTTACATGTGTCATGTTCGGGTTTTGGCTTATCCGAGTTAGGGTTGACCAAGAGACACAAATATTTATAGGGGCCGTGTTCAGGTTGAAACTTCTGACCCGTTAACATGCAAACCGTCAACCCGAACATGACATGAATGCCACCCCTATCTGAAAGTATATTATTCGATATCCATCAAAGAGAAACTAATCAGCTATCAAAATACCATGTACACAAAAGTTTTCCTTATTTATTGTGAGGGTTACAACTATTCTTTGTCATGACCTATCGATAACAATATGTATTTATTTTGCGTTTCTTGAAATTTAACACATTTCCGAATATAACTAAATAGCGAATGAAATTATTCGCCGACGCCGCTTTGTACGGGTAAACAACTAGTGTGTGTATGTGTGACTGTGTGTGTATATATACACACACAGAACACTTTCGAAACACACAACATGTAAGAATAATTCTCATATATTTATTTATAATACACTTTACATCGATTTGTTAACATAAAAAGGGAATCTATCTGTGATATACCTAACTGAAAAATACAGGCATTACAATTTCCATCGGTTCATGAAGTTTCTCTTTGATAACACACTAACACAAGGAAAAGGTAATGATATAACTTACTATCGGATATTTTGTGCTTGTTTGGTTTTGGATATGGATACCCGCCAAACCCAAACACTGTTGTCATTCGGTCTATCACTAACTTCTAATTACACAACTACAAGCCAACACTTGTTACTGCTTTGGGTATAATATTATACCTTCAACACATGTGACATTCGAGTCTAATAACAGATTCAGAACCTCATTATCCCTAAATTTTGATTCAACACCAACATCCAATGGGGTTTTACCAGCAGCATTTTAGGATCAACCCCCTTTGCAAATTTATTTAAGGATTATATAATACAATATAATACTATAAAAAAGAAAAAAGAAACTCTCGTCCCATGGCGAAACACGGATATATCTCCTAGTTCTCATCAAATAATTAAATAGACATAATTATACACCAAAATTGAATGGGCTAACTATTAGGATATAAAAGATGGCTATAAAGTCGTAATATGCGATGATACCTTTAATGATATTTTACTTTCCTACATTCTCATTAAATAGACATAATATATACACCAACATAAAAATGGGCTACCTATTAGGATATAATAAAGTCTTAATACTACAAACATATTATTTACACCAACAATATATACAAATTCACTACCTATACGGCTAAATTACTAAAATATTGACAAAACTGAAAAAATAAGTATATCAAAGTCAATATATCGCTATCAGATAAAAAAAAAAAAACTATTAAAAAGAAAATAAAACATACGAAAAACGATATATATATCGTTTTACATTAAAATGCACAACGAATTTCTGCAATGCCTATGATCTAAGGATATACACTGCCGGATGTGTTACGAATTATCCGGTGATTCGCTGTGTTCTCTCTTTCCGGTCTTCTCAATTTCGGAAAATTGAAAGCTTCACTTACTAAAAACTCTGACCCACTTCACACACACACACACAACATACAAGATGATTGTTCATGGAGGTTTGTTGAATCCATTGTTTCAAGCTCCTTCAATGTCCGATTCGATGTCGATTGCAATTACTTCAACGAACTATATCGTTTCACCATCTTACCATCGACAGCGACCTCCGTTTTGCTGTCAGTTCCATTACCAGTACGTCAATGCCGGAAATGTATTTTATCATAGCAAAAAGGGCACGCGAGATCGTGTCAGTTTGTTGAATCGAGTTCGAGCTTACTCCGAATCTAAGGTATCTGAATTACTCTTTTTTTTTTTTTTTTTTTTTTGCTATATTTGTGGTTTTGTGAAATGTTTTTATGAACCAAAAGAGAATCGGAATCAATTCTTATGAATCAAATTTGTATATTGATGAAAAGATAACGACTTTTCCAACATAATCTCAAGTGTAGACAGAAGAAAAGGAAGTAAGAAAGTATTCACCTATCCTCGAGAGTCAGTTGCTATCAGAGAAGAATGTATCAACAGCAGAATTGAAGGCAATTCCTGATATTTGGAGATCTTCAGCAGAAAGATTTGGTGATCGGGTTGCATTGGTGGATCCACATCATGACCCTCCTACAAATATGACATACAACCAGGTCTTCTTCCCTTTTACTATGTCTTTTAATTTTTTCGGAAGTAATGGAATCTTTAATAAAAACTCCAATTAGTTTAATTTGAACGTTATTTGCAGCTAGAGGAGAATATATTGAATTTCTGTGAAGGTTTAAGAGTTATTGGAATCAAACCATGTGAAAAAGTTGCACTCTTTGCTGACAATTCATGCAGATGGCTTGTTGCTGATCAAGGTAGATACATTGAATTCATGAAACTACAAACGATACGTATGATTATGTTTAATTTTAATTTAAAATTATATAGTAAAAGTAACAAGTTTGGGTGTAGGTATTATGGCTACAGGAGCAATAAACGTTGTGAGGGGATCCAGGTCATCTGTAGAAGAGCTCTTACACATCTACACTCATTCTGAAAGGTTAGCAAAAGAAAAAAAGAAATGATGGTAGCTTGCAAAAAGATCATGTTAATATGTAGATTGTAGAATAACATTTAACATAGTTTCCATATGCCATGGAGTGTAAATAAGTGGAGTGATTTCTAGGTTCATATTTCCTCATGTCAACAATTTTCGTTCTTTCAATAACAGTGTTGCACTTGTTGTGGATAATCCTGAATTATATCAGCGGATTGCAACGGGATTTAATTCAAAGGCATCTGTTAGATTTGTGATTTTACTTTGGGGGGGATAAATCATCATTAAATAGCCATAGCCATATGATGGAGGGAATTCCTGCTTATACCTACAAGGAGATTATAGATATGGGCCATGAACATCGTACGCTTTTTGGTTGATTTACATGATGCTCGTAAGTTAAATCTACCACTTAGGAGTTGTTTCTAACTTTTTTTTACCTTTTAAGTCCTTAAAGTGACTGAATGAGTAATGATGTATATTGTATACATAACGTGTGTTCCTTAAAGTGACTGAATGAGTAATGAGTAATGAGTAATGAGTAATGATGTCTGTCTGGATAAAGTGTTGTATATTGTATACATAACGTGTGTTCCTTTCTAGTTTGAATATAAACCGTCTGAATGAGACTAAATGATCATTTGACACTTACATTTCAACAAACAAATTTCAAAGTATTGAAAAAAATTAAATTTTAGCGTGAGAGAAGTTGGGTGAAAAAATAAGGACAAATAGGTAAAGGGTTGGTGTTTTAATACATTAAACCAAGTTTTTTTTTTGGCTTAACTTATTAAGTCATTATGTACGGATTAAGTAAAAAAGAAACAACTTATGTGATTAACTCATTGATTTCATTAAGTAACAAAGAACTAACCCCTTAATTCATTTTTATCTAGAATGTAACGTTTCAGAGTCTCACCAATTCCAGCGGAATTGGAATTGAGATTCCATTCCATAGCATGTTTTGTTGCCTCGTGACTGACTTTGTGAATCTTTAGGTGAAAAGTATGTTTATGAACCCATCAAGTCTGATGATGTTGCTGCTGTTATTTACACAAGTGGGACCACCGGGAATCCAAAAGGAGTAATGCTTACACATAGTAACCTTTTGCATCAGGTATAAATGTCTTTTTTTTGTAACACCCGACTTTTTAACACAAGGTACACCAAAAAATTATCACTTATTTTTAATAAAACACATTGGTGTACACTTACGTTACAAATCCAGTACAAGTAATTATCAACATGATCGGTTCAAAAAAAATAAAATGCAATGATCCGAGCCATATATCACCCTCTCTCTTCTTCAATCCTTACTTCTAAATAAAGTTATCCGCAAAACACATATCAACAAAAATGATAAGCTACAAAGAGCTTAGTGAGTAATCCTTAATAATGATACACATAATAATTATGACATAAAAATACATAACTATCGGTGTATAGTTTCTCGAAACTCGTTTACCTATTAAAGTTTACATTTACTCGTTATTCAACTCATTATACTCTTTTTCTACATTCATTCTCTTTCTCTACTCTCTCTCTATACTCATTCGCTTTCTTTCTATATATTCCCTTTATACTCATTACTTTTCTCATTTTCTCTTTCTACTATTCTATACTTATTTTTATTTATTCCCTCTACTTTCTCTCTCTCTCTCTCTCTCTCTCTCTCTCTCTATATATATATATATATATATATATATATATTATATATATATATATATATATACACACACACACATACTCTATCTCTCTGTCTCTATACTTCTCTTCTCCATCACTCACTCTATCTATCTCTCTCTCTCATTGTCTCTATCTCTCTTATTATGTTTCTCTCAATCTCTTTCGCTCTCTATCATATCTCTCTCAATGTCTCTCTATGTCTCCTTCTCACTCTCTCGTTATCTCTCCCAATATCTCTCTCTATGTCTCTCTCTCTCTCTCTCTCTCTCTCTCTCTCTCTATATATATATATATATATATATATATATATATATATATATATATACATATCCCTGTCTCTCTCAATATCTCAACTATACTAACTCATCAACTCATATAACAATACTCTATTATTTATCTCAGTAATACTCGCTTTTTAACTCCTATAGTAATATACAATTTTATGTCTTAATCATCGTCGTTTATTAACGCATCATTTAATATTCTATTTTATATTTCGAATGTACTCGTTATGAATATTATACTTTGCTATGTATCTCAATCATACTCTTCTATTTACTCGAATAGTAATAAAGTACGATAATTCTCAATTATTCTATTTAATGACTCATAGCATTAGGCAGCTATAATTCTCAGTTATCACAAATACTTAACTCATACGATACTAATAAATAACAATTCAAATATTATACTAGATAACAATTCTCAAGAGAAATATAAGGTTACTCATTTGGTTAGTTAGTGAAGACTAACTATTATTCTCGCCTCCATCTCTACGTTGCCTTCCAATTCATCACTTGTCCAACCCTATTTGGACAATATATCAAGTTCATTAGAACCTGTCTAATCTCCTTACTAAATCAACCACAGTGATCAATTAGCTGGTCATTAACCAGACTCAGTAACCATCTGTCTCCAAATTAGTCAAGTTTTCAAATACAATCACCTAACGACTTAACATCGCAAGCGGTTAAACCAATTGACAAATCTCGGTAAATTAGGGTATTTAACCCATAATGACCAAATTAACATTTAACAAATCATCGGGTTCGTAATAACACCATATCACGAAATCTCGTAACACATACTTGGGTCTAACAACCCTTTCCGAAATATCACATAAATGTAATTATGTAATAACGGGATAAAAGATACCTCAGCTAATCGCGTAACTCAACCCTCATATCCCCCGTACTTTAGTATAACTCTCCGATTATAAGCCTCCGGGAACACCTCTCGAGCCGCTCCCCCAACTGTATGTGCCAAAATCTTCAAAACGACACAAATGGCTCATATTTATATGTTGGACGCGTCGCGCCATGGCAGGAGATGTATCGTGTCACGGTGATGAGGAGACTTCGGTTTTGGCCACATGTTTACTGCTTCACCACATGTTTCTCTCTAACTGACACATGTCCTCGTGACTCACTCCCTCTTCGCGCCGTGGTGAGGACTACACCGTGTCACGAAGATGCGTCATTGACCGTTTGACTTTGACTTTCGTTGACTTTCTCGAAATATCAGCATACTTTCATCTCAACTTTGAACAACCATAACTTCCTCATACGACCTCTAATTTTGACAAACATTATATCCACGGAATCGTCTTAGAGTGAACTATCACTTTCTATCATAAATCCCTGGCTAAACTTTACTATTGTTTTAATACCATGCAAAGTCGTTTTTCGTGATAACGTCAAATTTTTTTCGACTATTTCGAATTTTATACTTCATCGTTTATATCATTTTGTCGCGGGGGAGCATAGTAATTTTTTATCCATTCAAGATCATTCTCATGACCATTTGAAGGCTTTATAATCACGTTTTTTTATTATAAATCGGGGGAGAATTTGGTATGGTCGTTCGAAATTGGATTTGTGACTTTCCAAATTTGAAGATTTTTTATAAAGCTTGTGGTAGAATTATGAAGGTAGTTTTTACAGTAGCAGTTCTTCATCGAGCTCTTCTAAAGCTTTTACAGAGAAGTATCCTTTATAGTAGCAGTTCTTCATCGAGCTCTTCTAAGGACTTGTTATATCTCTGACTTCTAGTTTTTTCTCGATCAAGTGGCGTTACGAATCTTAAAATTTGGGTTGTTACATGATATTTTTTGGTGGCTTATATCATTAGCTTATTTGAAGATCATTGTGACTTGGAGGGGGAGTTCTTCAAAGACAAGAAGTAATTTGGTTTCTTAATTTTGAAATGGGTTTTTATGGCGGGTTTGGCTTTCTTGAAGATCTTTGGGATTACATTAGAAAATGAAGTTTAAAGACATTACTTCAGTGCTTAGTTCTTATATCCTAGAACCCGTTTTTGAAGACTATTGAAGAATCAAGATTCGTGGATTGCTTCAAATATTCCTCGCCGCGAGATCATTTCTTATTTGCTAGATGCTTGTTTTGGAAGTTGAAGCATTGTCATCCATTCCATACTTTGAGGGGGAGATTGTAGGGTTTCAAAGTACTCCATGGATGATGGCAATGGGCCTCCTTGATGAAGTGTAGGTTAAAAGCCCAAGACTTGTCTTTTCCCTATAAATAGTCATGTATTATTCATTATTAGGGTTAAGAGTGAGGCAAAATGTATCCGCCACGTTGTGAGGTTTCTTGTAGAGTTAGATTCTTATTCTTAAAGTGTAATATGTTCCTCATAATTGAATAAATCGAGTGATCATTCGACATATCTTCATATTTGTGTTTGTTCTTATTTTCCGCATCTTGTTCATCAAATCACAATTATGAGGATTCCATCAAGTCTTGGACCTACGTATTGCATCACCGAAGTATCATTATTTCAGTAACTGAGTTCACCTTTAATGATATGTATACCAAATACATACTGTAACACATAATATGAGGCTTTTGGGTCATTAACATGTCATAAAAATAGGTGCCACATTTTTGCCCCCTTTCAATTGATTAAATTTTCATGTCTTTAAGATATTATGCTTTTTGATACGAACATATAAAAATTATAAATATAGTGCCTGCACTTCAAGAAACAGGGAGGTCTCCAAAACCGAGTTCAAGACTCAATACTTTTTATATCATCACAATCATAAAACGATCCTTAGGTCCTATTTATAGTGTTCCGACAAAACTCTACTTACCAAAATTAAAAACATACCAAAAAGAAAAGGATAATTATTAAGGAAATACTAATCATAAACAATAATAAAAGATAACTCCTAATTTTAAATAAATATAAATCTTGAAGATTTATTACTTTCATACTTTTTTAGGTTCATAATTTGTGGGACATTATCCCTGCGGGGCCCGGGGACAGATTTGTAAGCATGCTTCCACCTTGGCATGCATATGAACGTGCTCTTGAGTATTTTATATTTTCTTTGGGAATTGAGCAAGTATACACAAACATGAAATACTTAAAGGTATTTTTTAATCCCATTTGGAATTTCTTAAATGCAGAAAATGGATATTATATAATATTACCATTCTATTTTGTGATTTAATTTTTTTAGTTATTTTTGTTGTAGGATGATTTGCGACACTATCAACCACAGTTTATAATATCTGTCCCTCTAGTATTCGAAACTTTATACAAGTACATCTTCTTTGTTTACAATCAGCAATGTACTTTCATTAATTTGTTTATTATAGCATCCTACTTTTATTTTCTGCTATAATTAGTAAAGAATTGAAAGTATGATATTATCAGTATGATTTTTCTGCTATATATGAAAGTACATTGTTAGTTATTTCATTTAGCCCTTCCTATTATGCAGTGGGATCCAAAAACAAATATCCACCTCTTCCGCTATCCGTAAGCTGATTGCATTATCATTGATAAAGATCAGTTTGGCATATATGGAGTTCAAAAACATATATCAGGTTCAAACCTTCAGTATCATATTGACTTTTGACTATTTGTTTTGTGCATGAGGGAATTTACCTGTAGTTAATTTTATAGTCTAATGTTGTAATTAGTAATTAGTTTTCATATTGTTTTATAGGGTAAATGTTTGTCAAGAAGTCAGAAACAACCTTCTTACATTGCTGCAACATTGGATTGGATATATGCACAAATTATTGCTACCATTTTGCTTCCGTTACATTTATTGGCAAAGAAGCTTGTTTACATCAAAATTCACTCGACTATTGGGATTTCAAAGGTTTAATATACTATCATTTTTATGTCATTATGATGTCTATTGTCTGTTGTTTGTTGTTTGTTGTCTGTTGTACCTGCAATTTTTTCTTCCACCCAAAAATATGGGACAAGAACTCGTGATCAATCTCTTGTCTATGAAAAAGACGTGAATGCCCTCGATATCCTCATAAAGTCCACGTAGGATGTCTAGGATTGTAAAAGTTGATTGAAGAAGGTTTAAACAAACTTCTAATTCTGATATATGTTGGCATTCTACAGGCTGGCATATGTGGAGGTGGAAGCTTACCATTACATGTTGACAAATTCTTTGAGGTTTATAGATTCATTTAATTTTTTTGTTGTTGTTGATATATTACCATAGTAAAGCATAAATAAAACATGTCATAATTTCAATGTTTTACAGGCAATTGGAACAAAAGTTCAAGTTGGATATGGATTAACAGAATCATCTCCTGTCATAGCTGCTCGACAACCAAACTTAAATGTAATATACCAATCCAAATGTGAAAATTTATAGATTATATTATTTACAAATATATAACAAAGTCATACATGTGACACTTGAAGGTTCTTAGTTCAGTTGGGCGTCCACTTCGACATACAGAAATAAAAATTGTACATGATGAAACGGGTGAAGACCTTCCTCTTGGTTCAAAGGGAATAGTCAAAGCCAGGGGCCCACAAATCATGCAGGGTTATTACAAGGTACCTCAAAATATATTGGATTCATGATACTTAGAGATGTTTCTTTTTGACTTAATGGGTTAAGCACTTAATCAAGACAACTATACATATTTGCTTCTTTTTTACTTAATTTGGTCTTAATGAGTAAGGGCACAATGGTAATTTAGGGGTTGTTTGATAGTTGTTGACTGAGTCAGGCAGCTCTGAATCTGCCTCTAACTAAAACTGTGTTTGATAGGGATGTCAACGGGGGCAAACGGGACCGGGATTGCAACCCCCGCCCCCACCCCTGAAATTTTCCCGTTCCCCCGCCCCCAAAATCTCTAGCATCCCCACCCCCGCCCCTCCCCCCCCCCCCCCCCCCCCCCCCCCCCCCCGTTTGGGTTGACTTTTTCTTGGGCGTACGAAGGTGTTGTTTAGGCTAAAAGAAGTTATTTGTTGGGCTAAAAGAAGCCATTTTGGATAAAAATAGTTATTTATAGCTTAATTTTATATGTTTAAAATAAAAATATTATAACATCTCAAAACGTTATACTAACAACTTAAAAACATTATAATTTATTGAATTTTGGAAGTTCAAAATCATTTCTATTATTTATTATATTTTTGTAATTAATATATATTAATATAAATAATACATTAACGGGGTCCCCATTGGGGGTTCGGGACGAGACTACCCACCCCCGCCCCCGCCCCCGAAATTAAAACGGGGGTTAAACTTGCCCCCGCCCCCGCCCGCGCCCCCGTTCCCAATTTTTTAAACAAATATTCCCCATTCGGGATCGGGGCCCCACGGGTTCGGGGTCCCACGGGACTTTTTGACATCCCTAGTGTTTGATTACGCCTCTGGCCGAGTGTGCTAAATATTGTATATAACCATTTTACCCTTTTGTTCTTATTTGTGTTGAATAAAATGTTTAAGTTGATAAAATATCCGAATAAATTTGCTAAATAATTATAAAAAAAATACAAAATCCAAATTAAATATAAATCATTTCAAGCCAAATTCCTCATCAAATTTAAGCAAATCATATCGAATCATACTTACATTACATAACTCCAAGTTCTCAATCCAATTGTATGCAACTTCATAACTTTATTCCACACATAACCCGTGCAAAGTAATATGTTTGATCTCAAAAGTCCACAAGTTTGAAGAACTAGAAACATTAATTCAACCAAAAAAATGTGAATGAAACTATATACTTAAAATATGTGATCTATATTACATAACAAGAACAACCCAACACATGTATAAATGTCACAGTCACAAAGTACCTAGAACGGACCTATTAACATCGTCTTCTTGCAAAATATCCGGAAAAACCAAAGCATAAAATATATAAGATTGTTAAGCGAATATATACAAAACCAAATGTAAATAACAATGGTATGTAAATAAGAGTATTATAACATAATTATTACCCTATTACAGTGTATAATAGATAAATTAACATGAAACCGAATCAATTGATTTCTTGTAGGATAAGGTGTACCTTTAGATAACTTTAACATAAACCTGAATCTATTGCATCAACTTGGTAAAGACAACAATAGAAATAGATAACCTTAACATAGAAAATTCTTGTATAGATATTTCTAATAGAACCCGTCACAGGTAACATAAACACAAGTGTTGTTATTAAGCTAATGAAAACAAAGGAAAAAATACTTAATAATTCTCTCCCTATCGAGTGGCTTAAGGCCCTATTTTATAATCAAACAAACCTAAATCTAATAAAAGGCTTAAACAAGGAAACTCCTAATTAGATAATAACTCTAATAGCTTAATCTTTAATCTTTATTCTGATTCTTATTTCTTGTGTAGACCCGACCCCAATTGCACACATTCCAATTTATATTAATGCCCCCGCCCCGAAAACTCACCTTGTCCTCAAGGTGTAACTCATGAAACCACTGCTACATTAACAACTAATCTTCCCAAGTCGCCTCATTCTCAGGTATCCCCTTCCACTTTCCACTGTATCAGCCACTCATGCTTACCTCGATTCTCCCTACTTCCTAACACCTTTTCAGGATACATCAGCTCCTCCATTTGATCGTTTAAACCCTCTGATAAATTGTAATGTAGTTACACCCTGCTGGCCTCCTAACGCTCTTTTTAGTTGAGGCACATGAAAGACTAGGTGAATAGTAGAATATGGTGGCAATTTAAGCTTATAAGCCACATGTCCAATCCGGCTGAGTACTTCATGTTGGGAATATTAGGGTTTGTGGTGGAGATCTGGATACCAACTTGGATCATGATATCACTTTCCGAACTGATATTTCTACCCTATGCCTGGGTTACAAGAAATTCAGTCTAGGATAATCCAAGTGGACACTTACGATTCTAGGCACAGAAATCGTAAGCCAAAATGCTAGAGGATTCTGTGAAAGTATGATGAAAAACGAGAGCTTAAGATCGTACCCTCTTCTAAAAAGAAGAGTCGTTTATATAATAAACGATATTAGGGTTTTATCAGATTGGGCCGTTATTAGTTGCTTTGGAAGCAAGTAATATTAATCTGGATTTAATGAGGATTTAGGGTTACCAAAACTAACGAGTTCCGTTAGTTTTACCATAAACACCCTCAAGAAATTGAATTTTCCACTATGTTCCCATATGTAAAATTCGGTGAGGTTGTTTCATGTAAACTTTCAGGTTGTTTCATGTAAACTTCCCAGCCAGGGGCTCTGCCCGTTGGACCCCGCTAGGGGCGCTACCCCTAGATCCCGCCAGAGGGGCGCTGCCCCTTTGGAAACCCCGGACCCGGGGGCGCTGCCCCCGGACCCCCGACTAGTTGTCGAACCGGCTTCTAATTCGATCTTATACATGCGTGCACTCCGCACAACCCCGTACATATAATAGAGTACAAATTATGAAGCCCCTTAGCTCACATGTTAGTTCAAGTTACTTAAAATGACATGGTGACACTAAAATCACCAACAATCCTCACCCATTTTAGTGTAACCCTTGAACAAACATAACCTTTATCAAACAAACCAAACTAGTACATAATGAAAATATCGAAACGATTGAATTTCCACTTAGTATCATACATTTGCAAATACTCGAGAATCAGGGTGTTCTAAGAATTGAACCCATCAACCCATTTGAATACCAGAAAGTAAAATATATACTAGTTTATTGAATTTCTAGCAAATTACAACTTGACACTATTATAAAGCCGTGTGTCCCAATCCTCTCATGATCGTATCAAGGTCAAGTCCACAACCTCTTGAAATGCGGCTACACTTCACAATCACGTAGGTAACTCCTTTCCATGTATCTGCACATACATTTATCAAAGGAATTATTAAGAAGTTAAACTTTAACCTGGCTAACATGCAGAACCGAACACATACCTGGGATGAATACTTCATGTGTTCCAATCTATAAGTATGAGCTTTCCACATTGAATTCAACTCCTATCATTATATTAGGAGGTAATTGGGTGTCTCATCATTATAGAATTAAATGGACTTTAATCTCATCCCGATTACAGACTTGTGCACTAAGTCTCTTGTCAGACCTTTAGTCAAGTGATCTGCTAAATTTTGTTGCGATTTCACAAACTGAACCGAAATCACACCATTCATGATTAGTTCTCTAATCATACTATGTCTAACACCTAAGTGTCTAGACTTGCCATTATAAACCTGGCTATATGCCTTAGCCAAAGCGGCTGCATTATCACAAAGGATAGAAATAGGTGCTATCGGTTTAGACCACAAAGGAATCTCATAGACTAAATTCCTTAGCCACTCTGCTTCTTTACTAGCAGCTGCTAACGCAACAAACTCAGATTCCATTGTCGAGTTTGTAATGCAAGATTGCTTCTTGGAAGCCCAAGAAATGGCACCTCCCCCAAGCAAGAATACCCAACCAGAAGTTGAGGAATGGTCCTCCATGTTGGTTATCCAACTTGCATCCGAATGACCTTCTAAAACCGAAGGACTTCCCATATAACTCAAGTCATAATCCATGGTTCCCTTGAGATACTTAAACACTCTATTCACTGCTTGCCAATGTTTAGCACTAGGTTTACTAGTGTACATGCTCAACTTACCCACAGCAAAAGCAGTGTCCTGGTAATTGTCATGGCATACATCAAGCTACCAATAGCCTTAGAATATTCCAATTGTGAAATAGGAACACCATTATTTGGCATTAATTTCAAACTTGAGTCCATAGGAGTACTCACAGGAGAACAGTCGGTAAAATTAAACCGCTTGAAAATTTTCTCAATATAATAACTTTGAGTCATTACCAAACCTTTGTTCATCCTTTTAATTCTTATTCCAAGAATTACATCAGCCTCTCCTAAATCTTTCATAGAAAACTTAGATGATAACAATTTCTTTGTTTCATCTACTTGATTTTGGTCGGTACCAAAAATCAACATGTCATCTACATATAAGCAAATAATCACCCCAGCTTTAGTAGCATCATCAAATCTACTATAAACACATTTGTCACATTGGTTTGTCTTGAAACCAGAGGACAAAATAACTTCATCAAATTTCTGATGCCATTGTTTAGGCGCTTGTTTCAGCCCATACAAAGATTTGACAAGTTTACAAACCATATGCTCTTTACCGGGCATAATAAAACCTTCAGGTTGTTTCATGTAAACCTTCAGGTTGTTTCATGTAAACTTCCTAGCCAGGGGCTCTGCCCCTTGGACCCCGCTAGGGGCGCTGCCCCTAGACCCCGCCAAAGGGGCGCTGCCCCTGGACCCCGGACTAGTCGTCGAACCGGCTTCTAATTCGATCTTATACATGCGTGCACTCCGCACAACCCCGTACATATAATAGAGTACAAATTATGAAGCCCCTTAGCTCACATGTTAGTTCCAGTTACTTAAAATGACATGGTGACACTAAAATCACCAACACTTCAAAGGGCCCAAAGAAATGTGGGGAAAGCTTCTCATTTCGCTTAGCGGCCACTGTAGTTTACCTGTAAGCCTTAAGCTTTAAGAAACTGCATCTCCGACAGCAAACTCCACATGCATGTGCTTCCCATACGCATAAGTCTTCATGAGTTGTTATGTCCTAGTCAAATGTGTCTTTAATTCTTGTAACACCCTGTCACGAAAACACGAATATACATCTACATCAAAAGTAACAACCATTCCACGCTCATAGCTAATTAGGTTCGAAGGATATCGCCATTACAAAACCTTTAAAGGTGTCATCTTAATGGATAAATGATAGAACGTATTATACCAGTACTCCGCCCACGAAATCCATTTGACCCACTCCTTAGGTCGCAAGGAAGCAAAACAACACAAATAAGTTTCCAAGCTACGATTGAATACTTCAGTTTGTCCGTCCGTTTGCGGGTGATAGGTCGTGCTACGTTTGAATGTAGTGACCATATGTTGGAACAATTCCTTCCCGAAATAGATGAGAAAGACTTTGTCTCTATCCGAAATGATAGTCTTGGGAACCACATGTACCCAAATAATTTCCTTAATAAAAACCCCAGCAACCGACCATGCGGTAAACGAATGTTTAAGAGGTACGAAATGGGTTGACTTGCTAAGACGATCAACCACCACTAAAATGACGCTATACCCGGCAGATTTTGGCAAGCCTTCGATAGAGTCCATAGTCACATCTTCCCATATTCGCTCGGGAAGATGTAGGGGCTGCAATAATCTTGCGGACGCTAAATTAGAATATTTAAAAATATTCGCTGACATACCCCACATTCTGCCACCATCTTCGCCACATCCTTCTTCATTCTGACTCAAAAGAGTTCCCTAGCCATTCACTGATATGTTTTCTGAACGGCCTCATGCCCGTGACACCCCCACATAAAATTCTTGAAACGCTCGGTTAACCCAATTAGAAGAACTAGGTATAACTATATGTCCTTTATATCTCACACATCCATTCACAACTACATAACCTTTCGGCCGCTTGGTGTGGATATTACTAATTTACTAATTTCGACCTCCTCCCTTCTCCGTGAGAGTGCGTCTGCCACTCCATTTTCTGTACCGAGTCGGTAAAAGATGTCAAAATCCTAACCCACTAACTTAGCGATCCACCTATGATATTCGCCTACAACCATGCGTTGAACGAGTAAAAATTTTAAACTTTTTTAGTCGGTTACGACAACAAATTTTCTTCCTATTAAATAAGGTCGCTATTTTTGGATTGCCATGTCCATTGCCATGAGCTCACGTTCATAGACTGATTTTAACTAGGCTTTTTACCCTAGCACCTGGTTGAAATACGAGATGGGCTTTCCGTCTTGCATCAAAATCGCCCCCACCCCATGTCCGGACGCGTCTGTCTCCACGGTAAATTGTTTGGAAAAATCCGACAACGCGAGAACAGGAATTTGAGTCATGGCCTCCTTCAAACTTTAGGCTTGTGTAACCACCTTACCATAGTCACATAGTTCGCGGTACGCTTCGATACGGGAACCAGGTCGGGAATGCGGTTCGCCGACGTATCCGATACGGTGGGGATATGTTCATTTCGGTACGGCCCGGTATGGTGTACCATAGATTCTGATACGGTTTACACATATTCAAAACATAATTCCAACAATAGTTAACTTAAAAACAGAAATGCAAGTCTACTTATAAACAATTTTATACTTAAAAACAAAACTTCTAAGTTAACACTTAAAAGACTTATTACAAACCATTTTCAAAGATGAAAAGCAATAAAGAAACAAAATATACGAGAGGGTATGAGGGCTCAAAATAACATAAGAATGTAGAACAGAAGTGGAATCATGGTGAAGTGATGATATTGGATATGTGACACAGCTATTATATACTTATTAAAATTGATTAGAAGAATCAGATGTGGGAGTCCAACATATAACATGGAATCGAGGAATTGAATAAAGAAATCAAGCGTCAACGACTTTTCCCCAGATGAAATCAATTTTCCGCCAATTTCATAAATCGGCGTTTCAGAACCAAAATTGTCGATCCCAATTACGTTTTTGTGCAATCTGATTCGCCAATTTCACGTTTCAGGTATCAATTTAGAGAATTGATGGGGTCGCAAGCAAGACGTACCACATGGAGTTTCTGTCGGCGCTCGGTACGCAATCGTACCGCGTTTGGGATCGGGCCGTTCGGAATGTGGATTGTGGCTACTTTGGCGAATCCTGTGACTATGCACCTTACTCCAATGGAATTTATCTTTTTGTAGTGAGTCGGTTAAAGATTTAGCGATTTTACCATAACCCTTAACAAACTTTCGATAATAGCTCGTGAGTCCTAAAAATCCACGAAGATCACGAATGATTTTAGGCATAGGCCAATCAATCATGGCCGAAATTTTAGTTGGATCTGCCATCACGCCACCTCCCGTTACTACGTGTCCCAAGTAGTCCACCCGCTCTTGACCGAAAACACACTTTTTTTTATTGCAATATAGTTTCTCCTTCCTTAGTTTCCGGAACATGGTGGTAAGGTGCTCACGATGCTCTTGGAGATTTTTGTCGTACACTAAAATATCATCAAAGAAAACAAGCACAAATTTTCGAAGATAAGGTCGTAGAACCTTGTTCATAAGAGACTGGAATGTTGATGTCACATTTGTCAATCCGAAGGGCATAACCAAGAATGCATGGTGCCCTTCACGGGTCCTAAAGGTTGTTTTAGAGATATCTTCTTGTTTCATTCAAATTTGATGATAACTTGATTTCAAATCCAACTTGGTAAATATCGTGGCCCATGCAACTCGTCAAGGAGCTCATCGATCATGGGAATTGGAAACTTATCCAAAATCGTTGGTTTATTTAGTGCCTGATAGTTCCCACAAAAACGCCAACATTCGTCTTTCTTTTTGACAAGTAAGACGGGACTTGAATACGGGCTTGAACTTGTTCGAATTATTCCTGCCGTCAACATCTCGTTCACTAACTTTTCGATTTTATCTTTTTGCAATTGTGTGTAACGATATGATCGAACATTAATAGGTTCTGTTCCCGATTTTAAAGTAATGGTGTGCTTATGTTCACGGTGTGGTGGTAACCCGTCTGACATATTAAAGGTATCTAGAGAAGTTACTAAGGAGGGGCGACATTGTGGGCCGACGAATGCGAGGGCGTGATGTGGAATCGACGAGAGTAATGTCGTGGTGGGTTATTGGGACGTAGGCAGTGGCGGATACAGGCACTTTTAGTGGGGTGTCTTGCCCCCACTTAAAAAGGTGTACCACCATATTATATGTAAAAAATAGTTTTTTTTAGAAAAATTTATATAGTCCCCACTTTAACATTTTTGGCACCCAATTTGCCTAAAAATCAGAAAAAAAAAACATTGAAAGTTAATATATAATTACTATTATTTTTGTATTAATTAATTTTTATATAAAAATGGTCCCACTACACCAAGTTCTGGATCCGCCACTGGACGTAGGTACTGTCGATTACATATAAGCCGTCGTCGGTTGTACTGGTGGTCCTACCGGTTGCTATATTGTGATGAGAACGTCGGTGGAGGTGGTGCTGTGCCGGACAAGGTGAGTGATCTGGTGGCGGCGGTAGTGGGGGCAGTGATCGCTACAGTGACGGCAGGGGCGGTGGTGATCGGACGCGGTGGGTGCGACTGGGTTGTGGTTGCCAGGTTTGCCGGCTGCTGTTGGCTAATGTTAAGGAGCATCGCCATCAGTTGAGCATGTCGCACCTCAGAATTCTAATAGCTTACTCTTTAATCTTTATTCTATTCTGATCCTTATTTCTTGTGTAGACTCGACCCCACTTGCACACTTTCCGATTTATATCGATTTCCATCTAATCTCTAAGTTTTTGACTTGTTAGTAATAGTAGATCTGAATGCAATCTCATTTATCAAGATACACAAAACAAAATTTTCAATTATTACCATTAGCAATTCTAACGATGAATCACACCCATGTCATGACTACGGTATTTAAGAAGCAACATCAATTCCTTCATTAAATTAGCAGCTTTTAGCTCTGAAAACAAACCATCTTCCTACATCTGAGTGATTTAAATCGTTTTCAGCAAGTGGGTATCAATGGAAAAACAGTTCCGATGATCTATCGATTAAGTCTAGAAAAGAAACAAATCCATTACCCATTCAGCCACTTTACACCTACTACATGACTTAATGGGGGAAAAAAAAAAACAACCACCTATATTTTTTTAGAAAAAGATTATTAAATTTACTCATGGTGATTATTTTATCTGCAAATTTGAAATAGAATCCGGTAGCTACAAAGGAAGCTATAGATGAGGATGGATGGTTAAACACGGGGGATATCGGTTGGATTTGCCCTTCCCATTCATTAGGGCGAAGTCGTAATTCTGGTGGCATTATTGTTCTTGAAGGTCGTGCCAAGGACACTATTGTCCTTTCAACAGGTAAAAAGGGGGTTACTTGAGGTTTTATCAATGATCTATTTGATATTTTCTATATTGGCTAAATAGAGTTATCTATAGACATACATGTATTTGTGTATTATAACATCCTACTTTCATTTCTTTCTACTTTTACTTTATGGTATTGCACTTTTAGTTTTGTTCTTATTAGGACATTATACTTTCCTAAATCTGCCCAATTTAGTATAGTACTTTCAAATGTTTTTTTATTGCAACTTTATACTTTTTAAAATCTATCCAATCATTTATTTGGGTGAACTTTTTCTTATTAGGACATTATACTTCCATTTCCTACTTTCATTTCTTTCTATTACAATATTGTACGTTTATTTTTTTTATTAAGGCAATGTACTAATATCTACCCAATTATATCTTTGTACTTTCTATTTTTTTTCTTATACATTGTACTTTGCAAAATCTACCCTTTATTTATTTATTTTTCTATTTCTTCTTTTTCAAGGTTATTTGAATTTTGTTTTCTAATGGTTACTAGGGGAGAATGTTGAACCAGAACAAATAGAAGAAGCAGCAATAAGAAGCAATTTAATTCAACAAATAGTTGTCATTGGTCAGGTAACACTTCAAATTTAAAACCTTCATTTCCCTTTCTTTTCAGATCCTTTTATTTTCCTTTAATAAAATAGTAAATTACATTTTTCGTCCCCGAGTATAGCTGATTTTTGCAAGTTCGGTCCCAAAATGTTTTCTCTTGCAATTTTGGTCCTTATTCGATATTCTTGTAACTTTTTCAGTTCCTGATCCAAGTAAAATGACTACTTTTGGTTCCCAAGTGTAACTGATTTTTGCAATTTCTAAATGACAACCAGGATCAACGTCGTCTTGGAGCTATAATTGTTCCAAATAAAGAAGAAATTTTTTTGGCATCCAAAAATTCTTCTAGTAATGCTCAACTTACCAAAGACCAAATGGCTGGCATCTTATCACAAGAGCTTCGAAAATGGTAACCAACCAACTTTACTTTATTCTCAGGATATTTTAACAAATTTAAATAATGACCTCTCGAAAGTCAAGGGAAGTATACTCTGTAATCACGTCTTTTGTTTCAATCATTCGGTAAATAGTCTATCAATTCTTGTAATTCTACCCTAGATTGTCTATACCAAATACTTTAACTAGATTCATCTTGTCATGCAGGACATCAGATTGCTCATTTCAAGTGGGACCCATTCTTGTCATTGAAAAGCCTTTTACGGTAATTCCGCATGCATTTATCTTTTTTTTTTTTAAATACACGATGATTTTCTTTAGAAGGAAAGAAGAACATAATAGAGAATGTTAGAAATATGAAGCTTTTTTCATTAAGTCCCAACTATGGATTTAAAGACTTATAGACACACAATCATTTTTTATGACAACACTTTGGAATTTCAGATTGATAGTGGTTTGATGACTGCAACCATGAAGATCCGAAGGAACAAAGTTGTGGAACTATATAAAGACCAGATAGATGATTTATACAAGTAATCTTGTATGTTTAATATATTTATAAAAAAAATCCATAATGTGTATGTACTTTCTCCATGGCTAATAATCTATATTTTGGTAATTTATAAGTGAAGACATCTCAATTTTCATGTCAAATTACAAATTTGTTTTTCTCAAAAACACCCTTTTTGATATTTGTCACAAAATAACCATCAATTTTGCAAAAAGAACCATACATTGTTTATTTTATTTTTTGTAAAATTGCCTAATGAGGGGTCCCACTAGAAGTTTGTAATTTATCTACATAAATTTGTAGTTGGACCATTCAATAGGCAAAACAAAATCGATGGTTATGTTATACTAAATGTTGGTTATTAGGTGACAAGGCACCACTCATTTTGGTTATATTAGTTATCTTTAATAGTTTAAACTTGCTTAACTAGCTTTAAATACAATCAATAAGAAATAGGTTTGTCATGGATATGCATTCTTTAAGAGAAGTTTAGAATAAACTTCATAGGTTGTCGAAAATGACCACCATTCTTAATTACATTTAACAATTTGATCATCCTTTTAAGAAGTTACCAAAATATTATTAAGTTTTCAATTTGAAACCCCATTATTCTCTCCTCCTTTCGGTATTTCGAAACTATGTCCACTTCCATCCTTACCTAATAAGATTTTCATAAGTTGATTATTCATCAAGGTCATTATATAAATTTCTTAATTATTATTTATTTTATTTTATAAATTTTGTTATTTATTTATATTTATTTTATTTTATTTTCACTAAAATGTCAAAAACTTCTAGGGCCATTTTGAGGATGTTACAATTAAGTTGTTTCTTAGCCTTTCCATTATCTTCCGGCTACAACTACAAGTAGGATGAGCTTTTGAACCGGACCATAACTAAACTGGACCGAACCTAAAAGTACCATGTTATTATTAGAAATATTACTAATAGTTATTGGCATTGGACACTCTTTCCAACATTGTATACCGATATTATACTAATTAAGTATAGTTGGTATTGTACTATAATAGTTACTAATATCAAAAGTACAATGTTGTTACCAAAACCAAGACAAGTAACAAATGATTCCACTGCCCATACGAGCTATGTATGATAACATCTCATAAATGATTATCCCATGTAGGATGTCATGTGAGCAAAACCTGAAGAAACTCATCATAAGGACCGAATGTACACAAGAACAATAACGACTTATTTTGCAAAAAAAAAAAATAAATAAAATAAAATAAAAAATAAAAAATAAAAAAAATTAAGGATTAAATGTATACAAACCAAGAACTTAACCTGAAGTAGTCGTTCATAAGGATTGAATGTGTACAAAAACAATAAGTTCGATGGCTTATTTTACACAAAAAAAACAATAAGGACTAAAAGTGTACAAAATAAGAACTATATTACCCATCTAAAGACTTTTGGTGTCGTTGACTTAGATTTATTAGGCATTATGGCTTTTCTTATATCTTAATATTTAATTGGACATCCTTGGCGTCATTTAGACAAATATCTTTTTGTTAAAATTGTTTTTGTTTAAAGAGATTTTTTGCAATTGTTTTTGTTTAAAGAGATTTTTGCATGTCGTTACGATGATGTCACTTTGGTGTTGTCTACAATTTTTTCTAAAATTATGGTGACATACGAAGAAAATATATTATGATAATATATGAAAATAAACAAGAAAATAGGAAACATTGAACCTTATGTTTAACAGTGTCATTAAAACAAATTTGTTCGCTATCCGGTATTTGTTTCCCAAGATACAACAAGTATAACTACTTCTTCGAGATCACTTGAACCTATAGTAGGCATGTAGTTTACTTTGAGTTAGCAAGAAAAAGTGAAAAACGTAGTAGAGGAGAAGATGAGAAGATTCAATTATGACTTTTTCAGTATGTCTTACTTGTCACCGGAATAGTGTATTTATACACCAAAATTCCGTAACCAACATCTAACATAAATTTTGTAAGGGGTATAATTAATTGCAAATATTAATTTATGATTAATGTAGGTTTGCAAAATCGTAATTGATTTTCAGTTATGAAAAAATATATTTGCAAAAAGGTCTCTGGATTTTTTCTAGTCGACTAGTTGTGCATTCGTACCCGTAGGACGCACTCTACCACAAAAGTTGAAGTCTTATAAAAACATATAAGCATTTGTACTTACATATATATTTTCTTTTCATTCTCCCACCCATGCAGGATAACTAAAATCCATTAAACTCTTTTATTATTTCTTCCAACACCCTCACTTTAAGAATTAATTTATCATTCATCTTAAATCTGTTTTGAATGTGTGATTAGGGGTGAAAACGAGTCAAGCTACTCGTGAGCTACTCGGGATTGGCTCGTTAAAAGCTCGAATCGAAACCGGTTTTAAACGAGCCCGAGCCGAGCTCGAGCTTAATATTAAGCTCGTTTATTAAACGAGCTCGAGCTCGAGCCTATGTCACTAAGCTCGATTAGGCTCGCGAGCCTAAACAAGCCTTTATATAATATAATTTATTATTATTTTCATATATTAAAATAAAAACATATTTGAGAAATTATGGATTTCGGGTATTAGAAAACGAGCTTCTTAACGAGCTTGAGCCGGGCTTAAGCTTATTTAGGCACATCAAATGAAAAACGATTCAAGCCCGAGCCCAAGCCGAGCTTGTATAATTCATTACGAGCTCAAGCCGAGCTCAGTAAAAGAAAGCTCGAATCGAGCCGAGCTCGAGCTCGAGCCTCGTATAACTTAAACGAGCCCGAGCCGAGCTTGGCCAGGCTCAGGCTCGGCTCGGCTCGTTTGCACCCCTATGTGTGATATACCAAATGAACGTGTCACGGAGGACACACAAAAATATACCCGTTTAAACATTAATAATGTCTTAGGGTTCGAATTTCATGTTCAAAAAGGGAAAAACCTGTTTTTAGAAATTTGTTAAAACCAATTTTCCAACATTTTAGTGATACGTGGTAACACTTTATAATGTCTTTGCTCAGTGAAGTCTACTCGATCTCATATTGATGATATTGGTCTTCTAGTAGGTAGTATGATCACTCGATGGAAACAAGCATGTTCCTATTAAGATTAATGTTTTTATTTGGTGGGTTTTGCTTGATCGGGTTCCAACGAGGTGTAATCTTTACAAGAGGGGTATCGACATGTATTCAGTTTTATGTACAATCTATGGAGAGGACAAGGAAGATATTACTCACCTGATTTTTAAATGTTAGTTAGCCTTAGAGGTGTGGAAGCGAGTCGCTTTGTGGGTGGATATTGATATCCTGATTCACTTTAGATATCACTCATTGGATCAATGGTAGACCTACCATGAGAATGGAACGAGTCAAACTTGATTCGATCTTTATTACTCTCATTTGGTTTATTTGGACTTATCGGAACATGCTGCTATTTCGTCACAATAAGTTTCCGAAACATTTTATATTTGCTAACATTGTTGCGTTTTTTAATTAGTTTTCTTTTAAAAACGGAAAGGCTTCAAAAAATTGGAATGTATGGGTTCAATATCCAATTCTGTCTTAATTTGTATTTGTTTTTTGCTAGTTTTTAGCTAGCTTTCGTCTTTTAATATATAGCTATCGTTTAAAAAAAAATTAACCACCACAAATAATTTGTTCAAAGGAAGATGATGGGATAAAATGTATTTGATGGATGGTATGTCAAGTTTAATTATCATAAGGTTATAGCATGCTATATCTTTGTTCACATTAAACAAAAATAATGTAACTAATATAGTTGTAGAAGTATAATATAATTCAATACTAATTCAATGATCTCGTGGGCTATTTTGCACCGGTATAACATGAAATCATAATATGCATATCTAAATACAAAAAATATGCAAAAGCATCATGACATTGATTCAATGGCTATATTACACACATTTACTACTTAACCTTTTGCATTTGTATAATAATATCTTTGCAACGATGCATCTATTGTCAACTTAACTTTCACTTTCTTGGACTAATTTACCAAAGTCTATTGATGATATAGATCACCACACTACCTGTACGAGACTTTCTTGTAGTAGTGTTTGGCTAAATTACTAAAATATACATTATTAATGTAGATGGTGTTAGAAATATGAATTTAATGACACATGAAAATTTGAGAATCGTGATTATCACTTTCAAATCGAAGTATTTGGGTGGTACTCCCAAATCCTCAATTGGATAAGACTCAGAGAAAATCAGAAAAAAAAGAAAGAGAATGAGAGGGTATGTTTTTCGTGAGTACCAGATTAGGACCAAAAAACTGGTTTTTGATATATGTCTGAAAACTGTCACAAGACAGTTTCAAACCCACCAAAACTGTTAAAACGGGTATTTGGATAAGAGTAAAAAAACCGGGTCAATTCTCAAAAAAATGGATTTCTGATGCATTTTTTATATAGCTCGACCCGAGTCAGGGGCTCTACCCCTTGGACCCCGCCAGGGGCTGCCGCCCCTTAGACCCTGCTTCCAGGGGCGCTGCCCCCGGACCCCCATTCGTTCAGGGGCTTTGCCCCTAAATAACAGTCTACTTTGAATCTTGAATAAACTTAAACAAGTGTGCACTCCGCACCTTCCTTACTTGTTTAATATTCATCAAAATTGATTTGGGTTAACAAGTCAACCAATTACACTTAAATACAATTAATGAAACAATTCACCAACAGATAGTAGATTTTTATTACTAAAATATTCATTACTAATATCAAGAGTAGATTCTTATTTTTTAATAAGAAAAAAAACATTGCACATATATTTTTAAAAGAAATATATTTTATTTTGGATGATGATTAACTACCAAAAACATAAAAAGCTTTGATCAATTAATCAATCTATTAAATATATGATTTCTCCCGCTATATAAAATATAGAAAGTTAATAAGTTTTTTATATAAAAGAATTAATGATTTATAATATTAATAAACTTTATCTCATTTACACATGTAGTTACTTATATATATATATATATATATATATATATACTAGTTTATAACCCGTGAAAACCACAGTTACAAAATAAATTAAATTTTCATAATAAAAATTCAAAAATTATTTATCAATTACTTTAAATAAATCATTAATTATGAGATATACCAAATTTTTAAAGTTATTATAACTTCAAATTTAACATATAATTAGAAAAAGTAAATTTGAATTTTGAAGTGTTGCCTAATATATCTCTTTGACATGTGACATAATATTAATGAAGAGTTGTATTAGAGTGACACATGTCAAATGGAGATTAAAACTATTCATTTATTAGAATAGGAATATATATATATATATATATATATATATATATATATATATATATATATATATGACCATTAAAGTTTTTTTTTCTTCCTATTAGTCATTTCTTTTTACATATGACCCTTAAATTTGATGATTATACAAAAAAAACAAGTCATATATATAAAAAAACAAGTTTAATGGTAATATATAATAACAAAATATAAATAACTAATATATATATATATATATATATATATATATATATATCTATATATATATATATATATAGGGTTAGGTTATTTTGTTTTTGCTAACTATTGTGTGCCAGAATGCACAAATCTGGACCAACGGATGGAATTCATCAATGGACATGATTTGAGAGTGTATGATATTACAATGGGGTAGCATGTACCATATAATCATACAAATTTTAGCAAAAGGGTATTTTGGACAATTAACTACAATTATAAAAGGAAGTTTTCGGATATTTATGGATAATTAATTCTCCTAATTTTAAAAATATGAATTTTTTTAATTAATTCAATTTTAATTCTAACATAATTTGTAAACATAACCGATTTTATTCTGTCAGAATATTTTTTTAGTTAGAATGATGCTCTTTCAGAATTTTATTCTATTAGAATATTGTTGAAGAATAACAAAGTTCTTGAATCTGAGGTTGGAAAATAACAACATTCTAATATATTCTTATACATCCAAACTTAAATACAAATTCATACATATTCTTACAGACTAAAAGTCTTATACATTTTAATATAATTATACATATTCTAAAAGAATATTAACAAAAATGAATAAAATTCTTAAAAAATAACAACATTATTAAAATGTGAGTATGTTCAAACTTTATTCATTCTTCAAGTTATTCCTATTAGGTCTTCAACACATTCTTCCAACCATTCCTATCACAAGTACAACAAAAACTAATAATGGTTAAAAACATGTTGCTTGCAATTAACTATCACTTTATATATTCTGGTAGAATACATAGAATATATTATGGCAGAATACATAGATTTTATTCTGGCAGAATATATTCTGACAGAATACCTAGAATACATTTAAAAGTATCGTATCTACTGCTAATATAATTTTAGATTCCAAATACACAATAACAAGGGAGAATAGAAATTGGAATTCAAAATCACAAAATGAACCAAAATAATACACAAACAAATTACTTACATTTTTAAACAATTTTCTAGAACAAGATGAGTAGCTTTCACCAATCTATATTGGCATATGATATTAAGCCTTTACTATGTTGGTATATGAAATCAAACAAAATTAATTCACTGTGTTGGCATATGAAATCAACCCCATCAGTATATACATAGAATATGGAAGACTACATAGTATACATTCTGGCAGAATATTGCCCATACTTTCTTTGCTTGTGCTCCTTCAATGGTTTACCTGTAAGTTACAAATCAACAACACAATTACTTACTCAATTTTCATGAGATGAGATAACATAAATTAATTTCATGATCATTCTTTTAATTAGGCCTATTGAAATTATATATCCATATGATGCGAGAATTGAACCAAACAAGATTAGTGCACTTTACACAAACATAAATTGATAATTGAACCAAACATAATTGAAAGCTAAACAACTATTTGAAAAAGTAAAAAACAAAACCATTACTCAAAATATAAGAACTATCTAAACTCAGTAACAATTCACTTAGGACCATAGAAAAGAGTTTTTAATGGACAAGTGACAAATTACAAAGTAAATCTTCATTTAGGCATTTAGTCGAACACTTGGTGTTCAGAAAAAAAGACTTGGATAACTAAAAACACTTCCTGAGAAACTTATATTATTATCAACAAATAAATGGTCTGACTGAAATCTATCAGAAGAGTTAAAATATATAATTTAAATTCAACAAAAAAAATCGATCAGAACCCAAAATCGCAAAAACAGGGGCTTTAAACCGGAGAGAAATTGTAAAAGAAAGATGATGTTTTTTTCAACCCTTTGAATCGACTTTACCAGATGGCCGAAATAGAGGCTACATACGAGATTGAGAGGATGACAGGTGATCTTTTGTTTCAGCGATTGAAACTTTTTTGGGGTCGAGGTCGACTTCTGTGGGGATGGTAATGAAGGGACGATGGTTGTTGAAGAACAAACACCCACGATGAACAAACACCAGTGAATTGGGTGGGGATGGGAGCACAATCACTTGATTTGCTGAAGTGAGAAAATTGAAGATGGAAAAAAAGGTATCGATGATTTGGAGGAAGCTAGGGTTTATAAAAATATTACAGATTTCATTTAATGATTTTCCAAAGATACAAGATTTATTTTTGGTTTAAAAAGATAAAATGATCAAGCTACCCTTATTCCTAAAGTTAATGATTTATATTTTTCTAAAATCTCATTGGTCCTTTCAAGCACACAATACTTGTCAAAAACATTTGAACCTAACTCTATATATATATATATATATATATATATATATATATATATATATATATATATATATATATATATATATATATATATATATATATATATATATATATATATACCCTTGTAAGTTGTAAATTATTAAACCTATATAATATAACAAAGTAAAAAGTTAGCTTTTTTTATTATATAATTTTTCTTTTTATTAATTTTGTTATCATGACATATAATTTAATTAGTTGATAATTAGTTGACCAATAACTTTGATTTAAATATATAAATTTTATTTATTTTGATGTTATATTCTTTTAAAATTGAAAAATAATTATTTGGAAAACGACATATATCGTTTTACATTAAAATGCACACCGAATTTCTGCAATGCGTTTGGTCTGAAAGCATATACACTGCCGGATGTGTTACGAATCTTCCAATGACTCGCTGTGTTCTCTCTCTCCGGTCTTCTCAATTTCGGAAAATTCAAAGCTTCACCTACTAAGATCTGATCCACTTCACACACACAACATACAACATGATTGTTCATGGAGGTTTGTTGAATCCACTGTTTCAAGCTCCTTCAATGTCCGATTCGATGTCGATTACAATTACTTCAACGAACTATATCGTTTCACCGTCTTACCGTCGGCTGCGACCTCCGTTTTGCTATCAGTTCCGGTACCAGTACGTTAATGCCGGAAATGTATTGTTTAATAGCAAAAAGGGCACGCGAGATCGTGTCAGTTTGTTGAATCGAATTCGAGCTTACTCCGAATCTACGGTATCTGAATTACTCCTTTTTAGTTTTTAATTGTATAATTATTTTGCTATATATGTGGTTTTTTTTGAAATGTTTTTATGAATCAAAAGAGGATCCGAATCAGTTCTTTATGATGATCAAATTTGTGTGATCTTGTTTGATGCATTAATTGAATTGTACTAGCAACGTAATTGAGGTCAAACTGTAAAGGTAGTTGAGAATTGTCGAAAAGGTACTCCGAGAGTTAATTGGGTTGTTGCATTCCTTTTTGTTTTCTTTTTCTGACAATTGGCGTTCCTTTTCTTCCTTCTTTTTGACATTTTCACAACAATATAAAGCACAATGAAACACATGTACAATAAATCAATAATTGATTAATTTCAAATGCTGATTACTCAGAATTTTTCAACTTTACAGACCACATAAATTATCTATATGACCAAGTCAAAATTTTGATAATTACATGACTTCGTAACAATTAAATTTAGTAGTGGTTTTGAATTTAGATAACGAAGTCTTTTTTGGATATTAATTGTAAGACCCTATGATTCAACTATCACTTATCAGTGTCAATTTCATGACTTTTTTTCTTATCAAAGGTTTAAAAGCATGATATAGTAAGCTTGTATATTGATGAAAAGATAATGACCTTTCCAACATAATCTCAAGTGTAGACAGAAGAAAAGCAAGTAAGAAAGTATTCACCTATCCTCGAGAGTCAGTTGCTATCAGAGAAGAATGTATCAACAGCAGAATTGAAGGCAATTCCTGATATTTGGAGATCTTCAGCAGAAAGATTTGGTGATCGGGTTGCATTGGTGGATCCACATCATGACCCTCCTACAAATATGACATACAACCAGGTCTTCTTCCCTTTTACTATGTCTTTTAATTTTAACTCCAATCAATTCAATTTGAACCTTCACTTTTGATTGTCAAATTTGCAGCTAGAGGAGGATATTTTGAATTTCTCAGAAGGTTTAAGAGTTATAGGAATCAAACCATATGAAAAAGTTGCACTCTTTGCTGACAATTCATGCAGATGGCTTGTTGCTGATCAAGGTAGATACATTGAATTCATGAAACTACAAACGATACGTATGATTATGTTTAATTTTAATTTAAAATTATATAGTAAAAGTAACAAGTTTGGGTGTAGGTATTATGGCTACAGGAGCAATAAACGTTGTGAGGGGATCCAGGTCATCTGTAGAAGAGCTCTTACACATCTACACTCATTCTGAAAGGTTAGCATAAAAGTTAAATTACTTTCAACTTCAAAACCGAAAGAAAGTTTATAAAAGTATAAATAGACTCATATTTCCTCAAGTCAACAATTTGCATTCTTTGGATAACAGTGTTGCACTTGCTGTGGATAATACTGAATTATATCATCGGATTGCAACGGGATTTAATTCAAAGGCATCTGTTAGATTTGTGATCTTACTTTGGGGGGATAAATCATCATTAAATAGCCATAGCCATATGATGGAGGGAATTCCTGCTTATACCTACAAGGAGATTATAGATATAGGCCATGAACATCGTATGCTTTTGGTTGATTCACATGATGCCCGTAAGTCAAATCTACCACTTAGGAATTGGAATTCGAGATTCCATTCCATACTCCATAGCATGTTTTAGTGCCTCTAGACTGACTATATGAATCTTTAGGTGAAAAGTATGTTTATGAACCCATCAAGTCTGATGATGTGGCTGCTCTTATATACACAAGTGGGACCACTGGGAATCCAAAAGGAGTAATGCTTACACATAGTAATCTTTTACATCAGGTACTACAAATGTCTCTTTTGCCCCATTCATTTGATCAAATTTTCATGTCTTTAAGATATTATTATGCTTTTCTACTTTTTGTAGGTTAATAATTTGTTTGACATTGTCCCTGCGGGGCCCGGGGACAGATTTTTAAGCATGCTTCCACCTTGGCATGCATATGAGCGTGCTTGTGAGTATTTTATACTTTCTTTGGGAATTGAGCAAGTATACACAAACGTGAAATACTTAAAGGTATTTTTTTATCCCATTTTGAATTTCTTAAATCCAGAAAATGGATATTATATAATATTCCCATTCTATTTTGTGATTTAAATTCTTTTTAGCTATTTTCGTTGTAGGATGATTTGCGACACTATCAGCCGCAGTATATGATATCTGTCCCTCTAGTATTTGAAACTTTATACAAGTACATCTTCTCTATTTACTCTTTAAAACTTTAGAATGATTCAATGATGCGAGAAATAACAATGTACTTTCATCAAATTGTTTATTATAAAAGAAAATTTTGTAATATCAAGAAAGTAGATTGTTATTTCTTGCATTTACTTGTTTCTATTATGCAGTGGGATCCAGAAACAAATATCCACCTCATCTGCTATCCGTAAGTTAATTGCATTATCATTGATAAAGATCAGTTTGGCATACATGGAGTTCAAAAACATATATCAGGTTCAAACCTTTTAGCAACTTATTGACTTTTGACTTTTTGTCTTTGTGCATGAGGGAATTTACCTTTGGTTAATTTTATAATCTAATGTTGTAATTAGTCTTGATATTGTTTTATAGGGAGAATGTTTGTCAAGAAGTCAGAAACAACCTTCTTACATTGCTGCAACATTGGATTGGATATATGCACGAATTATTGCTGCCATTTTGCTCCCTTTACATTTATTGGCAAAGAAGCTTGTTTACAGTAAAATTCACTCCTCTATTGGGATTTCAAAGGTTTAAGATATTATCCTTCTTATGTCATTCTGTTGTCTGCCAATAATCTAGGGTAAATTTGTGTGTTGTATATTGCATAGGAAACACATACAAGGGAATATATATATAGACACAATATTTACATCCAGAGGCCTTTAATATATATAACTAACTATTTGTCTAATATCGCCCCGCAAGCTAAGTCCAGGAAGCGACTTGTAGCTTGGATCTTAACATAACAAAACGTTGTGAGGACAAAGGTTTGGTAAACACATCTGTAATCTGGTCATCGGTGGAAATGAACTAAACTTGAAGTTGTCGGCGTGCAACCTTCTCTCAAACCAAGTGAAAGTCTATTTCCACGTGCTTTGTGCGAGCATGGAAAACAGGATTAGCCGACAAGTACGTAGCACCAAGATTATCGCACCATAACGTTGGAGCATATTTGACGGGAATGCATAGTTCTTGTAAAAGTGCTCGAATCCATGTCCATGTGATTTTTGTGACGGTATCAGCCAGCGCTTTGTATTCCTACTCCGTGGATGACTGAGAGACAGTCTTTTGTTTTCGTGCGGACCAGGAAACAAGATTAGAGCCAAGATATATTGCATATCCCCCCGTGAATCGACGGTCGTCCGGACAGCCAGCCCAGTCGGCACATTCTGAGAATCCTGTCAACGAATTGTAGGCACAATCGGTCGCGTGAAGAATTGTAGGAGAGTGATGGGTGAACCGTAGGCCGTAGGTATTGGTACCATGCAAGTACCGAAGAATCCGTTTGACAGCTGACCAGTGATCGTTAGTTGGTGAGTGCATGAATTGGCAAACCTTGTTGACTACAAAGCGATATCCGGGCGGCTCAGGGTAATATACTGAAGGGCACCCACTATCTGGCGGTACTTAGCTGGGTCGGAGAAGGTAGGGCTGTCCCCAAGGGTGAGGGTGACATTGGTCGTCATGGGGGTGGGGACAGGTTTGGCAGCAGCCAAGCCAGCTCGTTGTAATAGCTCATGAATGTATTTCCACTATGAGAGGACAAGATCAAGGTTGTGGCGTGTAACTTCTAGGCCAAGGAAATACGACAGATCACCCAAAGTCTTGTACCGCAAAAGTCTGACTGAGCCTATGAACCATGTCGTCAATGGCGTGTTGGTTGTTCCCGGTAAGGATGATGTCATCGACGTAGACCAACATATATAAGAGAGTGCCACAGTGAGAGTAGATAAACAGAGACGGGTCTGTCTTGGAGCCCTAAAAACCGAATGAATGAAGGGCAACAGAGAGCCGGTGGAACCAGGCTCGCGGTGCCTGTTTCAAGCCGTAAAATGATTTATGAAGCAGGCAAACATGATCCGGTCTGTTTTAATCTACGAAGCCCGGAGGTTGGTGTAAATAGACAGTCTCCTGAAGATCGCCATGGAAGAAGGCATTATGTACATCAAGTTGCATGAGAGACCATTTCTGGGTTACGGCTAAGGATAAGACAACACGGATGGTGGTCGCTTTAATTACCGGGTTAAAGGTCTCGTGATAATCGACACCGAATTGCTGTCGGAAGCCTTTGACAACAAGTCGAGCTTTGTAGCGTGTAACCTTGCCATGCTGATCTTTCATTAGTTTGTATACCCTCTTACAATCAATAACATTAGAGTTCGGGGCCCAAGGCACCAAGGTCCAGGTACGGTTCCGCATAAGAGCAGAGTACTCATTAGTCATGGCACTACGCCAGCGGGGATCCTTGCTGGCAAAAGTAAACGAAGTAGGTTCGAGGTCAGGAGAGGGATCGGTAGTGTGGTTAGCGGTGGGATGGAATGGTGTGGCCTTTTTGGGGTTAGGGCGTAGGTTCAGTGGTTTGGGACGGGCTTGGTCGGGGGCGGGTGTGGTAGAGGTAGTAATGGGTGCTGGAGTCTCAGTTATGGGAGGTGATGGTGGGGTTTTGGGTCACGTTGGTAAGTGTGGATGAGTGGTGGAAGGGGCGTTTGTTGGGCAACAGGATTTAGCCGGTGTAGGGTCGGCCGGTGTGGACGGTGGAGACGGGACGATGGAGGAGGGAGATTCGGTTGTGGGGATGGCAGAGGTTGGGTAGGTGGAGAAGTAGGGTTTGGGAGTGGGAGGTGATGGTGGTGGTGGTGGTGATAAGGATTGTTGGTAAGGGAACATATGTTCGGTGAATCGAACATGACGAGCGATGTAGATATGCTCGGACTCCCAATCAAAGCACCTGTAGCCATGATGAGAAGGGCTATAGCCAAGAAACACAAGCACCTGTAGCCATGATGAGAAGGGCCATAGCCAAGAAACACACAGGATGTGGAACGGAAGTCCATTTTATTTTTGTTGTACGGGCGTAAGGGTGGAAGCACTGACATCCAAAGACCCGAAGGAAGGTGAAATCGGGTTGACGATTGAACAAATGTTCAAATGGCGAAATGTTAGAATTATTGCGCGAGGGCATGCGATTAATGAGATACACGGCTGTGTCAAAGGAAAAGTGTCAGAACCGTTGAGGAACACGGGACTGGGCCAAGAGGCTAAGACCCGTCTCAACGACGTGTCGGTGTCGCCGTTCAACGAGTCCGTTCTGTTCGCTGGTGTGGGGACACGAGAGGCGACAAGTTATACCAAGGGAAGAGAAGAATTGAGACAGGTTGTGAAACTCTCTGTTCCAATCAGTTTTAACATATTTAAGTTTTGTTTGAAACTGTCGTTCTGTCATATCAACAAATTGTTTGAACGTTGCAAAGACATCAGATTTAAGCTTGAGAGGAAAGAACCACATAAATCGAGTGTAATGATCAACACACAAGAGAAAGTAAGAGTGATTATCAAATGACTTTATAGGTGCTGGCCCCAAACGTCACAAAAGACCAAATCCAAAATATTTGAACTTTTATAAGTAGACGGTAACAAAGAAAGTTTAGCAGATTTGCCAATGAAACAAGAATCACACACGGGACTAGAACATTTATTTTGTAAAGGTAAATTGTATTCGGAAAGCATAAACTTCAAAAGCTGATGATGTGGATGCCCTAAGCGCTGATGCCAAGTAGTAGAGGTGGCACGAGCAGACGAAAAAGCAACTTTGGAGGTAGAAAGAGTTGAGGACGAACTAAAGGAGTATAGACCACCATTACTTGGAGCCATGTGGAGGATAATGTGAGAATCCTTGTCCTTCACAATAAAGAAAGAATCGTGAAATTCAAAATATACATGGTTATCACGATAAAAATTTTGAACGGAAAGCAAATTTTTTTTGATGTCAGGAACATGAAGGATGTCTTTAATAGAAAAAATTTTGTTTGGAGAGTAGAGACGGGAAGAACGGATGTGAAAGATGGGCAAAGCCTTACCATTGCCAACATGAAGGTGGTCCGCACCGAGATATGCCTCGGAGTGGTCGAGGGTGGAGAGGTCCAGTGCAACATGATGACTAGAGCATGTGTCTGGCAGCCAAGAGCTTTGCATTTGTGAACATACGTACGTGGGCGTCATTGCAGACCCATGCGGCATAACTAGGATTCGGTTGTGGTTGTGGTACTGCTGGGCAGTCTCCGATGATTTGAATCATCCGGACTGAGCCGGAGTAATGGTTTCTGGTGGACATTGAATTGATCCATCCAGGTAACTGAACAGATTGTATGAGACCAGAAACGGCTGGAGCATGGCCTTCCAATACCCATAATTGTTAGATGATAGTTTAAATCCAAACTTGTGAGAGTTGTGAGTTGTTTTCTCTGTGGAGGTGATTCAGGTGAAGGCTGTGATGTCCGCCATTAGAGAAAGTAAAAGAGAAAAAAAAAAAAAAACGATGACCAGTGTTCCGCGATGAACAGTGCTTCGGCGGAATTAGGGTTGTCACCCTAGGGTGGTGATACCACAATAATCTAGGGTAAATCTGTGTGTTGTATATTGCATAGGAAACACGTACAAAAGGGAATATATATATATATATATATATATATATATATATATATATATATATATATATATATAAGAGAGAGAGAGAGAGAGAGAGAGAGATACAATATTTACATCCAGAACCCTTTAATATATATAACTATCTATTTGTCTAATATTTGTTGTCTGTCGTTTGTCGTTTGCTTGTTTGCTACAATTGCTGTCTGTTGTATGTTGTTTGACTGTTGTCTGTTGTAGTTGAAATTTTTTATTCCACCCAAAAATATGGGACAAGAAGTCGCTATCGATCTGTTGTCTGTGAAAAAGACGTGAATGCCCTTGTTATCCTGATAATTTCTATGAAGGATGTCTAGGATTGTAAAAGGTAATTGAAGAAGATTTAAACGAACTTCTAAATATGATATCTGTTACATTCGACAGGCTGGCATATGTGGAGGTGGAAGCTTGCCATTACATGTTGACAAATTCTTCGAGGTTTATAGATTCATTATTATTTTTTTTCTAATATATTAATTACCAGATTAAAACATAGATAAAAAAAAATTGTCGTAATTGTAATGTTTTTACAGGCAATTGGAACAAAAGTCCAAGTTGGATATGGATTAACAGAGTCATCTCCTGTCATAGCTGCTCGACAACCATATTTAAATGTAATATACAAATCCAAATGTGAAAATTTATATATAGATTTTATATTATTTACAAATATATAACAAAGTCATACATGTGAGACTTGAAGGTTCTTAGATCAGTTGGGCGTCCAATTCGACATACAGAAATAAAAATTGTAGATGATGAAACTGGTGAAGACCTTCCTCATGGTTCAAAGGGAATAGTCAAAGCCCGGGGACCACAAATCATGCAGGGTTATTACAAGGTAAGGGTAAAATGGTCATTTAGGAATAGACCCATTACCCATTCAGCCACTTAATGGGAAAAAAAACCAGCTGTAGTTTTTTAAGAAAAAGATGATTAAATTAAAATCTAGTGATGGTGAGTATTTGAAATAGAATCCGGTTGCTACAAAGGAAGCAATAGATGAGGAAGGGTGGTTAAACACAGGGGATATCGGTTGGATTTCCACTTTCCATTCGTTAGGGCGAAATCGTAATTCTGGTGGCATTATTGTTCTTGAAGGCCGTGCCAAGGACACTATTGTCCTTTCAACAGGTAAATAAAATAAAAGAGACAGTTTCTTTATCTATTTCTTGTTTTTTTTTTTTTTAAAGTTTATTTGAATGTTGGTTTTTGAATGGTTACTAGGGGAGAATGTTGAACCAGAAGAAATAGAAGAAGCAGCCATGAGAAGCAATTTAATCCAACAAATACTCGTCATTGGTCAGGTAACACTTCAAATTTTAAACCTTCGTTTCCATTTCTTTTCCTTTAATAATAAAATATTAAATTACATTTTTCGTCCCCGAGTGTAACTGATTTTTTTGCCAATTTGGTCCCGTAAGAGTTTTCTCTTTCAATTTTGGTCCTTATTTGAGGTTTTTGTAACCTTTTCGATCCCTCATCCAAGTAAAATGACTTCTTTTGGTCCTCGAGTATAGCTGATTTTTGCGATTTTGGTCCCAAATCATTTTACTTGGAACAGGGACCGCAAACGTTACAAAAACCTCAAATAAGGACAAAAACTACAAGAGAAAACTTTTGGGGACCCAAATTGACAAAATCAGCTATAGTCAGGGACCAAAAATGTAATATATATATATATATATATATATATATATATATATATATATATATATATTATTCTTAATAATACAAGACAAAATACTTATTTATATTTTTGATTTTATAAATGAGAACTAGGATCAACGACGTCTTGGAGCTATAATTGTTCCAAATATAGAAGAAATTATTTTGGCATCCAAAAGTTCTTCTGATAATGGTAATGCTCAACTTACCAAACACCAAATGGCTGCCATCTTATCTCAAGACCTTCGTAAATGGTAACCAACCAACTTTACTTTATCTCAAACATATTTTAACAAAATTTAGGCTAAATAAATGCTATAAAAAGCATCCTACTTTCAGTAAATAATCTATCAATTCTTGTAATTCAACCCTTAGACTGTCTATATCAAATACTTTAACTAGATTCATATTATCAATTTGTCATGCAGGACATCAGATTGCTCGTTTCAGGTGGGACCCATTCTTGTTATTGAAGAGCCTTTTACGGTAATTCCGCATTCATTTTATCTTTTTATTTATTTTTTAAATATACGATGATTTTCGTCGGAAGGAAAGAACTAGGGGTGTTGATCGGGTAATTCGGGTTTTTTATGTTAAAAAAGTACCCGTTACCCGACCCAAATTAAATTTGGGTAATTTTGGTTTGGGTAATTCGGGTAATGGGTCGGGTTTAGGTAATTCGGGTATTATCCGAAATATATAATTTTTTTTTGAATGACACCTGAAAATAAATTTAATGAAATAAATATGTCGTGCTCTATTAGTCTTGTTTATATAAACAAACGAGGCATAAACGAAGTTACTCAAACTTTGAACATTATGATTTTTTAGTCAATAGTACTTGAGATATCAAGTAATCTTTTAACAACTTAATCTAATCTAATAAGATGTTAAAAAAACAAATATTTAAAGATCTTAGTTTAAAAGTTTAAAATGTTTAAGATAATTGTAACCATAAGTTTTGCCATGTTCTGAAGTTTCGTCAAGATAATGAGTTTGTTAGTTGCAATAAAAACTATAATCTAGAAAACAGTTAAGTTTTAAAGAACATGATGACATATAAACAATTGCTTTTAATATTGTTGGTGTCATACAGCCATAATAAAAGAGATTCATGTTTTACAATAATGATAGTTAGTTTAAGTCTGATCAGATACATGCTACAGAGTACAAGCTCTACGAAAGAAAAAAAAAAGAAATTTTTAAAATAATTCGGGTAATTCGGGTATACCTGAAACCTAGCAAACATACCCTATACCCGACCTGAAAAAAATCGGGTTACCCAAATACCCGAAAAATTAACCCGATACCCGAAAAAATCGGGCGGGTAATTCGGGTATCGGGTATTTTCGACAGGGCTAGAAAGAACAACATAATAAAGAATAATATGAAGCTTTTCTCATTAAGTCCCAAGTATGGATTTTAAAGACTTATAGACACAATCATTTTTGCTAAAATATCTTGATGAAAAAAACCCTTTGGAATTTCAGATTGATAGTGGTTTGATGACTGCAACCATGAAGATCCGAAGGAACAAAGTTGTGGAACTATATAAAGACCAAATAGATGATTTATACAAGTAATCTTGTACGTTTAATATATTTACTATTTAGAAAGGAAAAAAAATCCATAATGTGTATGTACTTTCTCCATATAAGTGATGACATCTCGTTTTTCATGTCAAATTACAAATTTGTTTTTCTCAAAACACACTTTTGGACATTTGACACACAATAACCATCAATTATTTTTTGCAAAATTGCCTAATGAGGGGCCCCACTAGAAGTTTGTAATTTATCTACATAAATGTGTAGCTGGACCATTCAATATTCATAAGGCAAAACAAAATTGATGGTTATTTTATAATAAAGATTACTGAGGGGCCCCACTAGAAGTTTGTAATTTATCTACATAAATGTGTAGCTGGACCATTCAATATTCATAAGGCAAAACAAAATTGATGGTTATTTTATAATAAAGATTACTGATTATCACTATCTAGTTTAAACTTGCTTAATTAGCTTTAAATAGAATCAATAAGAAACAGGTTTGTCATGGATATGCATTCTTTAAGAGAAGTTTAGAATAAACTTTATAGATTGTCGAAAATGACAACTATTAATTGCATTTAACAATTTGATCATCTTTTTAAGAAATTACTTGTCGGATAAAAAATCAAATAATTACGACTTCATATTAGTGAGTTATGCGTATTTTAAAAAGTGAGAGAAAATATAAAAACTGCTGAAACAAAAGAAAAAAAATGCAACATTGTTATGTTATCTTCTGAGGACTATAGTTGATTCAGTATGTAATGAAAATAAGTGTTTTACACTCTAAAATGAATTACAAATACCAAATTACATGATGGAAAGAAATCAAGTAATTATGATTTCATACGAGTGAGTTATGCGTATTTAAAAATCATGTCAGAATATAAAAATTGTTGATACAGGAAAAAAAAAACACAACATTGATATGCTGTCTTCTAGGGCCTATAGTTAATATGTAACCAAAATAATGTACATCCTCTCAAATGTGTGTATTTATTGATCAATTACACCTTATCAGAAAGTATTAGAACCACACAAAATGGGTCATTTATGGATAAATGTCATGTCCATCATATTACATAAAAATAATCCTAGGAATGTGATACGTCATTATGAAAAATGTTATAATACATAATGTAATTGTACCAACACATAAAATCATTATCAATATAGTCTGACGGCAACATTAACATGTTATTTTCCAACATTTCTCTCACTTGGCCGAGTAACTATTATTATTATACATGTTTCATTATTGGCCAAGATAAGTTCATCATGTTTCAGATTAATACCAAAAGCAAAACTGTACAACCTGACACATCATTTTAAGCACGAGACCCCCATCGATCATATTGTGGTGCTTCATATGAAACTTAAGATTAATTTAGACCAAATGACATTTAAAGTTAAGCGGTAATACACTATGTTTTTCTATATAAAAAGTAAGTGTGCACAACTTATTCATACTTACAAACATTAACCATTTTACTATTGGCATTAATTTGGAAAACTGTAGTAAGGTGACTTTGCAATGAATAAAAATCACCCATTTTTTTTCTGTTGCCTCATTTTTCCAGATTCCATTCATCCACTTAGGGATATGCATTTGGACTGAGTACCCGAACCGAAACCGAAACCCGGATAGGGACGGACGCAGGAATACATCATAGGTGTTGCCGGGATGAATAGGTGTTGCCGATATATGAAAAATAGGTAAAAAGAATTGAAAAATCAAAAATTTTTCCACTGCGAACAGAAAAAGTTAGGGGTTGTCGGTGCCACACCGGGAACCCCTTAAAACCGTCCCTGAACCCGGACCGGACTAAATACTTTATTTGGGTCGGACCGAACCGACCCGAATAACCCAAAATAACAATGACCAAATACAAATTAACTCTTCGAGGATATTGATTGGTTGTTTTCCCTTTCCACCTCCATTGTTTATCGCGTTTTCCAACTCTTTGGCGACGTCATATATTTGCGGCAAAATTTGTTCGGTATGGAGCTAATATGTGCCCGCTTGTACTAAAAGCCGCCTCGAACACGATGGTAGAAATTTGTAGTCCCAAAATATCTATCAACATAAACAAACAAAGTGTTAAAATATAATTATTAAAAAGTATACAAATAAATAAATTTATAACTTCGACCGGTATTGGCATATTGGGTGGGTACGACAATACGCAAGAGCTAAAAGGGATCGATCAAGTGAATATTCAATTTTCGGGTTGGTCCTTTTGGCCCAATTAAACCTTTATTCGGGTAACCTGGACCGAACAACCCGAGAACCGAATTGGGCTAAAATAGATACCCGAGAACCGAATTGAACTAGATATAAAATTTCCTTATTCGGGTCATTTCAGTTTATTTGAGTTATTCGGGTCATTTAGGTTTAACAGTATAGTGTACATGTTATTTCGGTCCTTTCGGGTTAAAAACCGATCCGAAACTCGTTGTAACATCCCATTTAAATAAATAATAAATCCGGAACCCCGAGATGTAATTTTATTATTATTTTATAGCCAAAATCAAATAATGATTAGCGGGGTATTGGTTTCGGGGAGCCAAATGTCATGATTTAGAGTTTCGGGGGTTAAAGTGTAATTTCGGGACTTATTTTGCAAAGGATTTTAGAATTCAGGGGGTGTTTGGTATCTTTTGGACTTAATATGAAAGGGTTTTGGATGGCTGGGGCTGTTTAGTAAATATTTCGGACTTGTTTTGCAAGGAATTTCAGATGGAAGGGTTTAAATGGTAAATTAAGGACTTGAATTGAAAGAAAAGAGAGAAAGAGGGACCATATCAGTCATTATGGATGGAAGTTTGAATGGGGCAGGTATTTAACCGTTCACCACCCCATAACCCTAACCCTAATCCCTTCCTCCATTCTCCAGCCACCACCCTCACCTCCCAACCTCCATCGGCTGCCGCCACCTCCATTGCTGAGGTCGGAAACCACCAAGCCACAGCAACCGCTGCGGACATCGCGTCCATCGGAGACTGTGAGCCCCGCGTCTTCGTTCCTTTCTGTCGGAGCTATCGTCGCCCATCGCCATCCACAGACGCATCCCGACCGTCGTCGGTGTTTCTCCGGCCACCTTTCGCCATCTGTTAACGCCCCATCGTCGCGAGCTGCTGCCTATCGTCGTGAATGTCGTATGTCGCGTCAAGACCACTACTGCCCGTCTTCCCTTGTTGCTGCTGCCGTCGCCTCCCACCACAGGTGGGTGTTGAGTTTTCTTTTCAAGCAAGATGCGCGTGTTTGTCTCTCCTGCTGTTGTGCTTATCGTGTGCGGTGTTTGTTTGGCCGGAAACCATGGAAGACCACCATGGCTGCCAACCATGGTGGTTACCGCCGCCGTTGCTGTTCTGCCACCACCAGCCGCCGCGTGGTGGTGGTTGTGTGCGTTTCTTTGCGTGTGTGTGTAGTGTTGTGTGGTTGGAAAACCAAGGAAGCCACCACCACCACCGTGAGGTGGTGGCTGCCACCATCTACCACCGCCGGCCACCACAAGGTGGCGGTGTGTGTGTGTGTATGTGTTTAGCCTAGTGTGTGTGTGTTCAGCTTAGTGTGTGTGTATGTTATTTGAGATTTGCATTGTAAAACTGTAATAGGGTAGGAATAATCAAAGAAAGCTCAAAAACCACCACCGTAGGGTGGTGGCTGCCGCCACCAGCCGCCGTGTTGGGTGGCGGTGTGCCTTGTTGTGTTTTGATTCGTTTGGGATGCTTGGATGAATGGACTAGAACCATAACCGCCGCCATGAGCCGTCGTTGACCACCACTACCCGAGGTGGTAGTGGGTGGTGCCCGACTAACGAAACCCTAATGGGCCTAATGAAACCCTAATGGGCCCAATGAAGCCCTAATTGACCTAAAAGCCCAACCATTTGACTAATGGACTAGTATGTAGGTTGGAAACCCTAATTAGGGTTTGGAAAACCCTAATGTCATGAAACCCTAATTTTGGGGATTGATCGGGACACGCACGTGAATTATTTAATAAACTTAAAATATTAATTAATAGTCATTGGCAAATTAACCTAAGGCAATATTGGACTAAATGGATTAAGTCCTTAATGGGTTAAGTAAGAAACACGTAACCCTAATCGTCATTTCATGTAAAAACCTTAATTTCACTTGGGCCTTGAGTCGGGCCTTTCTATTGGACTTTAGTGATTGGGTTATTGATGGGCCATCCAAAAACAAGCATATGGATTAGAATATCTAGATGGGCTTTAGGATAAGGCCCATGTGAAGGACTTGGGCCTAATTTGGAAAATTGGGCCATAGGTGGGCCATAACCAGGCCTTGATGATTATGTGATATTGGGTCATGGTAATACCAAGAGTTTTGTAACACCCCGTTTATTTAATAAATAAATAAATAAATAGTAGCCCTAAAATAAATAATTATATAGCAAGGTGTTGGTCTCGAGGAGTTAATTGCGGCTATTTTAGAAGTTGGGGGTTAAAAGTGTAAGTTTCGGATTGATTTTGTAAGTATTTATGAAGGCTAGGACTAAATGGTAACTTCTGGGAGTTCATTGAAGTGATTTTGGGGCTAAAGGGTTGTTTGGTAAATTAGGGATCGAATTTGAAAGGAATTATGGAAGCAGGGGTGTAATTGGTAAATATTGTACCTAGATTGTAATGGATTATTAATGATGGGGTTAAAAGGGCAAAATATGGGATTAAGGTTGAAAGAAAATGATATGGGGAGGGACCATTTCTACCATTATGGCATTAAGTTTCCTAGGGCACGGGTATATAGCCCATACTAACCCTAACCCTAACTAAACCCTCCAGCCGTCACCCCCCTTATGTCTCCCACCGGCCGCCACCTCCTTCTTCACTTCCGGCAGCCACCATCATCGGAGTCGCCCAGCCATCATCTAGTCACGAGCAACCACCGCGACCATCCTCCATCCGCCACAATAACCCAACCGCCAATGGAAGTCGTAACCACCGCTATGACGAGCGCTGCTGCTGCTGCCATTCGACGACGACGGACGAGGATCGAGCGCCTCCTTCTCCGCCACTCATTTTCTACTGTTACATTGCTACTCCTTTGCCGACGACGACAAGGCCGTCGCCTGCTGCCTTAATGATGAGCGCCTTTGCGGCGTGGTTGTCGGAGACTTAACCGAACCGTGA